TTTTTTTCCTCATTTGTCTCGTCAGTTAATTTTATAAATACTTTTATTATATTAGGTAGCTTTTCAGCCATAATCAATAAACTATAAACAATAAAATTAAAATTCACTTATAAACTATCAACTAACTTATTATTTATCAACTAGTTTTACTAAACATAGTCTAAATGTAAAAATTCAAAAACGCATGAACAACCCCACATTCTCGAGACTTGATGAGTCGAGCTTGTTAATATAAATGAGCTTGAACTCGGGCTCGTTTATCAAAACTTGATGTCGAGTTAGGGCTTCTGGTACTTATGCTCAAGCTGTTTATTAATCTTAACGAGCTAAATCTGAACTTAAACTAGTCAAACTAATGTAAAAACTTAGAAAACGACGTAGAAATACTTATTCTTGAAACTCAACAAGGCGAGCTTGTTAATTTAAACGAGCTCGAGCTTCGATTATTTATGAAAAGTAGATAATTCTGTTTTGTGAACCTAAACATCTCCACAGAGGCCCGGCCCAATAGTCAGTTACTTAGGCCTATATAGTTATGAGGAAATTACCTCACCCACGACACCTCACCTATTTTATTGCACCTTTACCATTAGATTAAAAACTTTAGCAAAGATACGGGATTATTAGATTAGGAAATAAAAATACATTATCCCCAATTAATACTCACTTATTAAGAATAGTTATTGAAATTAAGAAACTACCTCCATATTTCTCTCCCTTGTTGAAATTAAGAAACCATCTCCATATTTCTCTCCCTTTTCCCATCTCGATGCTTTTTCTCTCTTTTCCCATCTCCATTCTCATGATGCTTTCTCTCTTTTCCCATCTCTATTTTTCTCTTTCTCACACATCATCTTTCTCTTCTACAATCCGCCACAATTCTCCTCCTCCAACTGCTCCCCCCTTTAAAAATTGTTTGGATAAAGAGAGAGGCTCATTCGAATTCCTCAATCACCATATATATACACAGCAGAATACGTGAAAAGAAGAAAACGAAAGCCCTAAATTTCAGTTCATGGTCGCAGGAGTTCGAACATTTGAAGATAAACGA